TCTTTCTAATGAATACAGGGATACTGGGTGTCCAGATGCTAGTGAATAGTCGCAAATTATCAGTTTTGATTGACACTGGTGTCTCTGTTAGTTCACTTAACGAGAACCTAGTAAACGCTAGAGCGATTGTACTTGGGAAAACTATTCGTGTGTGCAGCTATGATGGTTCTTGTCGAGAGTATGACAGATGGGTGGAAGTATGTCTGGAGTATGCAGACGAGAAGCTCTGAGTAGAAGCGCAAGTAATGCCCGAAGTCAATTTCGACTTTCTTACATCAAGGCCTGATATGACATGCATGAAGATTAACATATTTTGGTATGACGAAGTCACCATCGGAAGGGAGTGTGCTAAAGCAAATATCGCCCACAAGGCTTACCGTAAGCCGGCTACCAGAGAATATGTACCATTGTTGTTTCCCGAGCTTTTGTGAGTTGGTGCTTACCCTGAAGCCATGAGAGCCATTAAGGTACTGTTCTATTCCTAGGCAACACCATTGTAAAGAAAAAAAACCACACAAGCTCAGTCATGACAAGAAAGTCTGGTTAAAAAATGAGCTCCAATCAATTTTAGAGGCGGGAATCATCAGGCCTTGAACTTCATCTCTTCCTTCACCTATTACAATTGTTCCAAAAGAAGATGATTCATGTCGCCAGTGTGCAGATTATGAGCTCATTAATAAACAGACTGATCTTTTTTCATACCCTATGCCACGAATTGATGAGATCATTAAAGAAACCGGAGGATGTCAGTGTTTTCTCGCATTGACTTATGCAAAAGATAAAAGGAGATACATAAAATATACCATATTCGTCACCCCTTTTGACTTCTACGAATACAACAGACTACCCTTCCGATGGAAGAACCCTGGATCATGGTTCCAAAAGATGACGAATGACATACTTAGGGAGTTCCCCTGAATATTCTGCAACGTATACGTGTACGACAATATTACATACACGCAAACGTAAGAAGATTACGAAGAGCAGCTATAAAAGGTCTTCGAAGTCCTTAGCACCACTAGACTTTAGATCAACATAAAGAAGAGCGAGTTCTTCTGCGGAAAAGTAGTGTTTCTGGGAAGAGTTTTTGATGGGCGAACCAAAGGCGCTAAAGAAGGGAGCGTCCAGCGCGTTAAGAAGCTTACAAAACCTCAAGACATACACTCCTTAAGAGTGTTTCTTGGACTCACCAGCAGTTTTCCTGCATTTATAAAGGACTATGATATAAAAACGAAATGTTTGACCGCATTAATTCAGAAAGGCGTTCCATTCGTCTGGCCTGACGAATGTCAAGAGAGCTACCTGGAACTTGTCCGAGCCATTTCATCTTACCCTGTACTAGCCCTGCTCGACTTTGATATTCCGTTTGAATTATATACAGATGCATTTCACTACGCTGCAGGCGCCATCTTGTATACGCGATATGAAATTGAGCAGTCCGGAAGAGAGCTTAAGGTCACCGACTACTATTCCAGCACGTTCATGACGACGCAGGAGAATTACACGACAACAGAGAAGGAAGCTTTAGCGGTCGTAATGGCTTTTAGATACTTCAGGAGTTACCTAGAAGGCAAAAATTTTTACCTGTTTGCTGATAACCAGGCGTTGACCTATTTATTGAAACTTGCACAGCCAAAGGGAAGAACAGCTCGATGTGTCAGTGAGATCCAGCAATTCAGTTTTGACGTATTGCATAGACCAGGCCAGAAGCACCAGGACGCTGATGCCTTGTCCCGTCTTCACGTGCCACAAGAAATTCCGGACAGAAGCATCATCTTGCTAAAACTATGGAAGGGCACGCAAGACGTAAAACTGCGCAATGGAAAGATCCCTGAAACAAAAGTGCCTCAAGGGCTGAAGTTATATCACAGCAGTCCCCATTCAAGAGGGAATGATGGATTTTGGAGGACATACCACAAACTTACTCAGAGATTTACTTGGCAAAATAGAAAAGCAGATGTTGCCCATTATGTGAAGATGTGCCATGAGTGCCAAATTCCAAGTCAAAATACAAGGCTCGGGCAAACAGAATGGTATTACCAGAATATTCGACTGTACCATTCGATGTAGTTCACTTTGATTTCGCGGAAGTTAAAAAAAAGGGTGAAGGCATCTAAAGAACCGAAGCCTTCCTGGTTGCGGTGGATGAGTGCACGCGCTTCGCGGCTGCAAAGCTGGAAGAAAAGACGCGAATTGCGTGACAGCACTGTTGTAGAGAGAAATTTTCTAACACACCACGGTCATCGTTGCCGACAATGGGCCAGTGTTTAGTAGTCAGAAGCTACGCAACTGGGCCCGCGAAAAGAACATCGTGCTTCGATACGCAGCGCCTTATCATCCAGGGGCTTATTCTTTTGCTGAACGCATGATTAGAGAATCAAAAATGTATAAAAAGTTATACCCTGAATTCAAGGGGGCCTTCAAGAGTGCTTTGGAGGCAGCCATACCTCGTCATAACAGGAGCTACACCACCGGCATCGGGTGCAGCCCGCAATTTGCTGAGTTTGGTACTGTTCCTTGGTTGCCAGTGGACGCATATCCGAGCTTAGTTGGAAGGATCACACTGATGGAAAGCCTCAAGACCCAACTCCAACAGCAAAAACACAGAAGTACGATGAAAATGCATTTTGATCGCCGCCACAGCACGATGATGTCAGAGATCAACCCTGGTTCCATGATACTAGTTAGAAAAAGATTGGACTCAGAAGCCGCATTCACCAGTCCATACCTTGTTGTTAAAACGGCCAAGCAGGAAGGACTTCTTAAGACACTGGGCCAAGTGGAAGAACAGAGGAAGCGTCTATCGGAAATGTGGTGCCATATTACCAGCGTGGGGGGAATGACAGCCAGCCGGGAGAGTGTAGCAATCCACATCGCTAGCGCCAGCAAGAAGAGATCAGGAGAGAAAGAAGACGAGGCCAGAGAGGAATGGCTCAATAAACCGATGCAGTCGTATTGTCTGCAAGAAAACTTTACAAGTGATATATACACATTGACCGCGATGGCGGTGTAAAGAGCAGCGGCCATCGATCGTCAATTGACTTACAAGCGGTGATGAGCGTCGGCATTTATGCATGTGCCGTCGAATATTCCAGCGTTATTGCTAGCGGCTACGTAAGTAACAGAAGAATCTGTATAATGCTCATGTCTTGCGCGCAATCATGAAATGATCTACTACAAAACTGAAGCTTCTCGATCACTACAGGCGCGGTGTGCGCTGAGAATTTCCTACAGTCTTTGTAGGTGACAAGCAAATACAGAAGTGAAATGAGAAACACGCGTGGCAATATTTAACAATGTTGGTCATTTTACGCGGAATGTGTGAATAAATATTGAAAGCTGTTGATGCGCTTTGGAAATATTTGCAGCAGCATAGTTTTTCTGAAAGTCCGGCCCGAAAGACCAACTGCTTTCAGGTTTTGAACATGTCTGCATGAGTGCATCCCCTTTATCATAATCATTATCATCATCATCATCGACCTGGCTACGCTCACGGCAAGTAAAATCCTCTCCCATGCTCCACCAATCAGCCTTGTCCTGCGCTTGCTGCGGCCACGCTGTACCGCAAGCTTCTTAATCTCATCTGCCCGCACAAGTTTCTCCAACTTGCACATTGCCTTCTCTTAGAATTATATCAGATATAAATAACGATCACCAAGTGGCTCTGCTGACTACGTTCCACGTGCCAGCCCATGTCTATTTCTTTTAGACTTGAAATATGACATGCTAAACACCCCAGTGTTTCCTGACTCACTCTCCGCGTCTCTTTAGGTTTAACCTATCAGTTTCCTTTCCATTGCTGATTGCATCGTCCTCAATTTAAGTTAAACCCTTTTTGTAAGCTTCCACGTTACTGCTCCGTAGATAAGTACCGGCAAGACGCAGCTGTTAAATACCTTCCCCTTGAGGGGTAGTGGTAGACTACCACTCATGAATTGAGAATGGCTCCCGAATGTGCTCAATTCCATCCTTATTCTTCTAGTTATCTCACGCTCATGGTTTGGATCCGCGGTTACTATCTGTCCTAAGAAGACAGTATTCGTTAAAATTTCCATTGTGTCGCCACATATCGTAAAGCGCCGTTCTCTACTGAATCTGTTGAACAATACTTTAGTTTCGTGTATATTAATCTCTTGACCTTCAAACCTACTCTTCAGTTTTCCGGCTTCAGTTCAGTAATCATAAACTATGATTCGCCCTCTGAGTTATTCATAAAAGCAATGTCATCTAATCTCAAGGTACTAAGATACTCTCAAGTAATTCCTAATCCTAGATTTGCTGAATTTAAGATGAATGAAATCTCCTGTAAACATGCGGTGAATAGCATTGGAGAGATATTGTTTGGCTTACTTTCTTTTTATTGGGATTCTATCACTTTTTTTATTAAGGATTATGGTGGCTGCAGATGCACTGTAGATTCCTTTCAGTAAGTTTTAATAGACTTCGTCGATGCTCTGATTTCAGTTATGATGTCCCTATTGCCCGTTTGTACTATGACCCACTTTGCTCTGTTTATGTCTTTTAAGACTGCACCAATCATTTTCCTTTAAATCACTGGCTGTGTCGCCTTCAATTTATATTGAACCTTCTTTGTGAGCCCCTAGTTTCTGCTTTATAGGTATAACAGCTGCACCTTAAGATGCAGCTATTATACACCTTCCTCTTTAGGGCTAGTGGTAAACTACCATAGTGATAACTGAAAAACTGAGATAGTGATTCCTGCACGAGTGAAGTGCATACTATCTCAGTTTTTTTTTTTCAAACACAAAATTCTCATCTCTAGCTTAGGTTAAGAAACTAATCGTTGGCCTCATTGACTGAAGCGTTGTTTTCTGGTTGTCTCAAAAATATTTAAACAGTACAATTGTTTTCCTCCACTTTGAATGAGTTGTATGTGACGTGTTCTCTCGGGACAACACGTATACAGGATTACAGTTCATATATAATTTTAATCAAAAAAGTGCAATTATTGTTTTTTTGTTTTAAAGACGATTACTCACCTCCCCCAGACGTTGTAGCACTGACGCTGGAGCTTGGTTCACTGCGACCCACGTCGTTGAAGGCCACCGCGTAGAAATGATAGCGCGTGCCGCAGTTCAGGTCTTGAAACGTGTGTGACGTGGCCACTCCGTCCACTCCCAGTTCACTCCAGTCACTCGTCTCCGACTTCCAGTACAGCACGAATCCTACATGATGAGTGAGAACAAGAACCAGAATGTGAGTAATTAGAAAAGTGTCACCTCGATAAATATGTGGCGACACAGTCCGTATGCATCTTGTGAATTTATTATCATCTGCGCATGAACGTTTCGGTTCGGACTGTTTAAGACAGCTTCATGCCTCAATAAGCATAGCTGGAAGCCATTTTTCATTATTGTACACGGGGAATATACATGATGTGCCGATTGGTTGCAAATAACAAAACATCAAGAACGTTGGCAGTCTACTCATTCTTTCAACTTCAAGGAATGTCGTTTTGACCAGAGCAGCTTGACGACGGCCATTCCGCTTGTTGAAACATCGAATATACGTTTACTGGTCGACAATTTCTCGTCATTTGAAGTCTCGATCTTCCTCCAAATTTATGTTTTCTCTGCATTCGAATTTCCCTGTCATTTATGAGTATGATATCTATTTATAATAGCAGTCATCATCATATTCTTAAGCATAACTACGACCCGATGAGAGAATTATCATGGTTTTCTACGATAAGTATAGACGGCAGAGTTTTCTGGACTGTGCTGAGTATCACCTCAGACATCATGGCTCTCAAAATCCTTCGCTGGTAGAGAATGCACCAGTAAAGTAAAAAAAAATTAGCTACCCAAAGCTACCCAACACCACATGCAGTGGATACTATAATACCATCTGGAATAATCTTAGGCCATTGCTGAATGGCCAAATGTTATCTTCGTAGCAGCCGATTCCAAATGAGCTCTTTTTCTTACTGAACTGCGTTGGCGAATCGACGGAATAAAAGCAACAAAATGACGGGTACACATGATAAACTCTGCGCTGAGTTTTTAGCGACTGTCCCAGTACAATTCCAAGCTCCAAAAGAATTCCTAACTTTAACAAAGCTACACATTTTTATGCAAGCTGTGTTGGTGGTTTGAACAAAAAATCAAGAAAGTTTGATGGCATGAAAGCTTCCAGCTTGAGAAAAATGTCTTCCGAATGTGTTAGCACAGTGATTGCTAATATTTTATCAAAATGTAAAAAAAGGCTGTACTGTCTACAATTAGAAAGAAGACCCGTGAATATCACTACGTTTCGTGTGTTGGGATCTCGCATAAGCCATCGGCCTCTCATAGTTCTGTCATATTTCTCACTGGCAAACAGATACTAGAGTTTCAATTCCACTCATTGCTTCAACTCAGTCACAGCCATTCTCTACAATATCAATTATAGGTCGACAGGCAGGAATATTATTGTTAATTTGGAAGTCAAAACAATATATTTCCAATAATTATCAGCTCCCCAATCATAAGCCAACTATTCTTTCAACATTGTAAATGCCTCAAGTGTAATTTTTCGCACATTATTTTCTGACTAAAAGCGATCCTTCCACCCTTAGGAGCGGGCGCAGACGTGCAAGACAATCTTTACAAGTCGACCTACACACAGAAAAAAGCGCGTGTAGCAAAGAAAAAAAAGTTGTCGTCTTCATTTTTTTACACATCTAAGACTAGATTAGGGTTCGGTCATTCTCACTTTTCAACGCCAAACTTAACGCAGCCTACTTGTATTGTTGCTCATTTTTGTGGACAATACCTTCTTACTAGTTCCGCTACCACGGAAAGGACTGCTTATTTTCAACCACAAGTGCAATGCATGGTGCTCTTCTAATCTGCGAGCGTTTTCTACATAAAAATACATTCCTGGCTACAGGACTACCAATGTTGTTGTTTTTTTCCCTAAAACATGAAAGCGCAATATCGACGAGAACGGGACGGAACACAGACACAGGACAGAGCGCAATGTCTTGTGTACCTGTGGTCCTTTCTGTGCTCGTCTATTTTGCACTTGCAAGCTTTAGTATTGTGAACCAACTGCCCAGCAACGCATTTTTTTAACTGTTTTTTTAAACTGCTGAAACATTGCTTGATTTCACATTGTGCTCTATTCACTGTCGTTCCCCTAACAGTGCTCCGGTATTAGGTGGTCATTGAGATACAAACATGTGTGCTACATGCAGGCCAACCGATAATAAGGCTTCCGCAGATATTCTCAACCACCCATCCCCCCCTCTCTCTATCTCTTCATAACGGCATGCTGGGGGCAGACGTTCAACAACAAACAAGAAAGAACCGGCTCCTTTGCTGTTGGTAAACAGAATTCATATACGGCTTCCGGTCTGCGTATTGACTAGGCGCGATTTATTTTATGAAATGGCACTCCTCATATCTTCGGGGATTAGCCCCTTCGAATTGAAATTTACGGCTCACTTTGCCGTAAGATAAATCGCACTGGCCTTGAGACACTAAAAATGTCAAAGGAAAATGAAGCTTACTGTACAATAAAAAGATTCCAACTACTCTTCTTATCATTGTTCTTAGGTGATACGTACACAGT